CACACACGCGCACTCACGCAGACACACACACACGCGTACTCACGCGCACACACACACAACACACACACACACACACACACACACACACACACACACACACACACACACATACAAATACCCATACCCATATTCCCACTCTCTCTCTCTCTTTCTCTCTCTCTCTCTCTCTCTCTCTCTCTCTCTCTCTCTCTCTCCCTCTCTCTCTCTCTCTCTCTCTCTCTCTCTCTCTCTCTCTCTGTGTATACACACACACACACACACACACACACACACACACACACACACACACACATATATATATTATATATATATATATATATATATATATATATATATATATATATATATATATATATATACATATATATACATATATATATATATATATATATATATATATATATATATATATATATATATATATATATATACATATATATACATACATATATATATATATATATATATATATATATATATATATATATATATATATATATATAATATATATATATATACACACATATACACATACATATATACACATACACATAAACACAGATTTCCCCATCTAGAATGTACAGGATTCTCCCTTTTTTTTTAACCTTTCATTTCTCCGTAGGATCCCTGTCCCCTTGATCCCACGCCCTGTGCATCCCTTTGCAACACGCGAATGGTCATGCCACCGTCAGAGATCTTGGATTCCTTTGGCTGCATTGCCCTCAGGGATAATCCGATCGCCTGCTGATCGGTTATCTGAAAATGCATGACGCCCTCGGTATAGAATACAGAATCATCGCATGTTGCAGAATTCGAAGGTTGATGAGACAGGAGATGTCTGTTGAGGAATAGGAGTCGGAAGAAGAGTCTGGAACTAGATATGGATGCTATTTAGTTACAATGTAAACTGCTTTAATGCCGCACTGGATATGCAGGTGTGTATGTGTGTGTGTGTGTGTGTGTGTGTGTGTGTGTGTGTGTGTGTGTGTGTGTGTGTGTGTGTGTGTGTGTGTGTGTGTGTGTGTGTGTGTGTGTGTGTGTGTGTGTGTGTGTGTGTGTGTGTGTGTGTGTGTGTGTGTGTGAGTGAGTGTGTTTGTGTGTGTGTGTGTGTATTTATGTATGCATATACGTATGTATGCAAAGATGCCACACACCTTTCATACAGCGTACACACATGCACATGCCGTGTCAGTTTCCATATATCCATGTAACCGGAAAAGCGAGGTGCTATTCTGAAGACATAGAGATGTTTGTACATCATGAACACCGTGTCTGGCTCAAAATGCCTCACTAGAACTACCTTGCATGGCTTCGCTCACTTCACCTGACCTTGCTGTTCTGCCGTCTCCCTCACTTCTACCTCACGCCGCTGTCATCTTCGTTCCTGCTATGTCTTCTTATTCAGTTGCATCGGTATTAGAAATCTTTTTCATCACCGCTGTTACTATTTCCCTCTTCTTTATTCTGATGTTACCTTACCCTGCTTCTCCATCCGTGTGTCACCTACACCTTATACCTCCTCTATAACAGAATACTTGCTGTGATTTGACGGTTTCTTTGGTTACTGCTTAAAGCTCTGTAATGAATCTCTCGTCTAGTGATCAGTTTTCTTACCCTCCGGCACCTGATCTAATCCTGGTGTTATCTCTGTCGTTAATTTCCTTTTTTTTTTCTTTCTCCTTCTTCTTACTCTTCTGTCTGTATGTATATCCCTGTCTTCCTATCTCCCATTCTTCTTTGGCGACTCCCCTTCCATCTTTTCACCGTCTCGTCTCCAAATGTCGATAGCGAGTGTTCCTTTGTAATCACCAATCATTTGGGAGTGATATGTAGGTAATGAGGCGGCTACTACTCGGTAATCCCTTCCCTCATTCCTGTTTTCATACGGGAGGAGGAGAAATTTCAGTAGTATAAGGTATTCAGAAATAATAACAGTATAGAACACACCAGTCGCAGCTGACAGTACAATCCTCAACACAACGACCTCAACCCACCTGTAACACTAACCACAACTGGGCCAACAAAGTCCTGGGGAAACAGCTTGATTCTAACCTGCAGCGAAATCCATCACGGTTTACAAGTTGAAGTTCTCCGCGTGGGTGTCAGTGTGACCTTTACTCCCTGACAGTCTCATCTCCATCATTGCTGTGAGGGATTACATTTATGTACATGCTCACGGAGCTCCCACTCTTGCTGCCCACGCTGAAACAGATACTACAGACTACAGGATGACAAGTTAAGCTTTATTTGATTTACACTGATATATCGGCATTATACGTTCTGCTGCGATGTCACATTCCTGCCTTTTTTTTAATCACAGATCACGAGTAACTGCATTATTAGATTACTTAATAAATTTGAACTCTATCATTTTATTTGCGTTAGACTTAGTAGTATACTGTACACACCGTTAATCTCATACATACTCACTGGTAATATCGCAGATAAATGTGCGTTGGTAGATCAAAGACTGTAATCAATGACTGCACTTTAGCTATTTCGCTTCTCTCATATCAATTTATTTCATTACCGAATCTAGAAAGATGAGGAGAGATATAGCATTGTGTTTGAGGTTTAAAGATATCACTGTTATTCCTCATTTTTTCCCCTGGTAACAATAATACTAAAAAAAAAAGAGTTAGAAACCGTTGACTGAATTTAGCTGTGGTCTACGTCATATCACCGAACTGTTCGAGCTCGTCATTAGCACATTTTATTACCTTGTTCACAGTCGTTTTGATATGCCAGATCTGTGTGAAAAAAAATCAGATGAAAGGCACTTCTTATCAATAATAGAATGCAATATAAATTACTAACAGCGATTGAAAAAGAAATCCAATACTCTTAAATGTCAACGAATTCCTCAGAGATCAAAAGACTCAAATATCAAAGATTACCTGATGACCTGCCTGTTAGTTATGCATCATCATCTTGCCACGAAGCAGACGAAGATGACCACACGCCTTGGGGCTCTCTCCGATGACTACTCACTACGAAGCCATGTGAATGTTCATCACGTGGGCCCTTGGAGCGTTCAGAAAATATTTACCACGTCTGGAGGCCGTCTTTGCAGCGGCGAAATGTCACACTTGTAGAGCGATTACTCTTCTTCTTCCTCCTCATCCTCTTTCTTCTCCTTTTTTTCCTCCTCCTCGTCCTCCTCCTTCTTCTTCTCCTTCTTCCTTCTCCCTGCACTTTCTTCCCTTCTCCCTCTCTTCTTCTTCCTCCTCCTTTCTCCTCCTCGTCCACTTCCTGCTCCTATTCTTCTTCTTCTTCTTCTTTTTCTTCTTTTTCTTCCCCTCCTCCCTCTTCTTCTTCTTCTTCTTCTTCTTCCTCTCTCTCTTCCTCCTCCTTCTCCTCCTCACCCCCTCCTCTTCCTCTTCCTCCTATCCCTTTCTCCTCCTCCTCCTCCTTCTCTTCTTCCTCTTCCTCTTCCTTCCTCCTCCTTTTTTATCAGATATCGTACAAGCACAAAATCGCTTCCCTTTAGCGTTCGTGAATCCGTAATGACGCTGAATCACGCCTACTCCTGCTGCTACGGGCAACATAATGGCCGTAACTCTGAATCGGATCTGAGCGCATTAATGAGTAGCAAATGGAAAACAGCTTGTGTCATGGCATTTGGGAAGCACGAGGAATAAAACGTGCTGTTCAGTTGCATGACGTTTCGGAAAGATTGGCAGACGTAATTTCATTAAACGTCAATCATTGACTTGAGTAACAAGTGAATGGCTTCTAACCGAGCGAAGGAATTACTTAGATTAAGTGTGAAATGTTGCCGTAACGTCTCTTCGCTCTTTGTAATCTTTATAATTTTCTTTAGTTCCTTTTATTGTGTCGTCTTCCCCCTGTTTACTATCATACGTTGGTCAAGTCTATACGAGGCAAAGACTATTCTATTTCTGTCTGCCTAAAGGTATTACTTTTGCTGTTATTTTGTATTTATTTTTCTTCATCATTTCCATATTCAACTAGGAAGCGTACAGAACCATAAACGTAAATCAATAAATGAATAAATAAATAAAATTCCCATCTTACATTGATGAAGAATCCTTTAAATGCATATATATGCGTGTGTAGATAGGCAGGTAGATAGACAGACAAAGAGAGAAAGAGATAAAAACAAAATTAGTTTTCCAAATACATTGGTTTACCACAATTCACAATGGTGAAATGAGAGTTCGGATTGGTAAAGAATTTTCAATTTCTAATCTGAAATGGACATATGCCGTGATCAATTTATCTTTCTGTTTATCTATTCATTAATTTATTCGTTTATTGCATAATCCTGTTTACAAACCAATAAACACCAGCTAAAAACACAAGATCCTTTACAGCGGTAAAAAGGAGTATCTCCACAGTATCATATACACATTTTAGCTTCTTGTTTGTTGGAGATACGAGTGGACCTACAAGCTGAGTGGCTCTCATTCCAGCAGACATTTTTAAGATTTTTACTCGGGTTCGGCCCCTTATTTTTCTGGCTTGTTTTGGAATGTTAACGTGCAGTGTTACCGTGTGATGTAGTATCAAAATCATTTTACATACATACACATACGCATATCCACGTACGTACGCACGCACGCGCACACACACACACACACACACACACACACACACACACACATACACATACATGCAGACACACATATACACACACTCGCACGCGCGCGCGCCCACACACATACGCAGCCTCCCTCGCTCTCCAAATCAAAACAGAAAAAGAAATAAGACGTAAGAGTGTAAAGACGACACCGGTGTCTTTCTGGGAGTGTTATCCTCCTGTGTTCTCTCGTAGACGCTGAAATAACACACAGACGCCTCAGGGGACAACGGGAGTTTCCGGTGACATTTACAATACGTCCGTTGTTCAGACGAAGGAACTGCGTCTTTCCTTTTCGTTTCCCTGATGTGCTTAAGCTACCATTTGCCTTATCCATTCATCTCTGTGTTATTCTGTGTTACGTGGGTAATAGACTGATCCTTCTTATGGTTTCCAG